AAAAAAAAAAGCAATTTTCGATCAGCATTGCTCCAATAATAACATTATTCCGAAATATCTTAGAATATTTTTAGATCGGCTGGGAGATGTGATCGAGAAAGGTGTTGTGGACAACGCTGGTAATGCAACACGTTTACGGAGCAGGATTGATAAAAAACGTAGTTACACAACATCAATCCTAGTGTCACCCAATCCGGACCGAAAATTACTTTTACCGCAAAGACAGCATTCAGCAGAAGGCAGTAATGTGTTTAGCATTGCATCCGGTGCTATGACCGTTGAAGTTGGTAAGGTAAGCTTTCTATAAATGCTTCTTTAATTATTTTTAAAATTTTGAAAATTTAACTGAAATCTTTCTGGACCAATTTCTTTGATTTATTTAATTTATTGAAATTTACAAATAGTTTTAAGAAGGATTTAATTTGCTAAATTTTTTTTTCAAATTCTTGTTCCTGTCAATTTTTAAATTTAACGCAATTTTTTTCATTCAACGTAAACACTTTTTTAATATGTTTTTTTACTAAATTTTTGTTGTTCATTATATTTTAAATATGAGTAATTAATTCATTAGCTTAAGTAAATTAAATTCAAACATTTGTAAGAAGTTGGTGGATGTAAAATATGCTGAATTTTTTACGTAACGTATATGAAATTTTTTGCATCACACGTAAGCAATTTTCTGATGTCAATTATCAATTTTCTGATAATTTGCTTCTTATTTCGTAATTTTTGTATTATAATAGGATCAGTTTTACTTGCCGAATGTAAATGATGATTGTAAATCGAAAGAGGGACAATTGCTGTTGATGGGTCTTTGTGATCGGTTGAATAGCGTAGGAAAGGATTCCGGAAATAGCCATGCAACGATGAAGTCAGAATCGGAAACGGGTACCATCAATTCATGTATTCAGTCTGCTGGAACAGCGCTTTTCCATGGCGCTGATGTCAGCTATATCTAAACTAGGAAATCTCTTATTTATCTTCACTGACATTTTCTATCTATGTTTTTTGTCGATACAAATTAAAATTGTTTATTTTTGATATGCGAAATGGATTTCCAATAAGCTACAATGCTATTCTGCAAAAGCTATAGCGATATTTTCAATATTTGCGTCCCGAAATGCGCAATTTCCAACAATTAACAACATTAAATTTGCAGTACA